AAAACTCCCTTGAGTGATGTAGACACAGTTAGTGGGAAATATTACTCTATAGCTCTTGCAATGTATTGATCAGCTGTGCATAATAAGAAGTGTGCACAGCAATAATCAGAGATGGAACATGTGTGCCGTTTACTGACCGAGTTTGTTGGCAGCACCCGGACAATTTTAACTAACATGAAATGGAAGAACTGCATAAGTCAATAATTTCACCCTGCTACACAGAAATTGATCAATTAAAAGATTCCCAACAGATAATAATTGTAATACTCTGTATACAGAATGACATAATGTGCCAAAATGATAAATGATTTTGTTAACATAAAAGAGAAACTGTAATATGCATAGAAATCAGTTGCTGTATGGGGTCTACTTAAACCCTACAAACTGCTACATATAATGGGAGGGGTTAATCTTTGACTTCCTCTGCTGTTGCTGCTTTCAACATGCAAAAGCAACAGTCCCCAACAGGGGAAAGCTGTTCTCTCTGCAAAAAAATCATGTGGATAACTGCATAGGCAAAATGGCCTCCTTTCCTTCAGACTCTCACATTTCTGTGTCGAAAGTTACAACAGAGTGGGGCAAGGTCTGTGATCCACTCATCACGTGTGGGAAACACACTTTAAGAATAATTGAACTGGCTTGTTGTGGAAGCTAATTCCCTTACATGATATCTAGCAGTCATGGCCTAACTATGTCTACTCAGAAGTCAGCTCAATAGTGTTTGGTATAGCTTACACCCAGGAGTTAGTACAGATTGTGAAATGTGGTTACATAATAAAGTTACTGTCAGCATCTCTGAATTTGGAATGTTTGCTAATGTTCTTTTCGAAGCTTTTTAACTACACTGATCAACTTTTTTCTCTTTCTATGCACAGACAAAGAAAAAATGTATTTTAGCACGTGTAACTCTAAACCATTACTTGGAAATACATGGAAGTCATTTTACAAAACTAGGTTAAAACTAGGTCATTTTCACATTCTTTTTTGATGTGCCATTCCTTCCCTACTGGTAAGGAAAAATGTGAAACATGTGTGTCAGATATCTTAATGTGGGTATGTGGCAGTGTTCTGTATTCTTGGTGCAGACGGAGAGAGGCACAATGGGAGCAAATAGAGAAAAGCGTTCATAAGAAGAAAACCTGGTCGCAATAAATGTTTTTGCCTGTAAAATATATTTCATAATTGGACAAAACAGGCAATGGGAGACAGTGTGTCCTATCTGTCTGTCTGTCTGTCTGTCTGTCTGTCTGTCTGGAATTGCAGAAAACCCAAGCCCAGCCAAAAAGCCTCTGTATTGCTATTCACTAAACCCAAAACATATTATCTTCAAACCATCCAGCAACTGCCAATGAAAAGTGGGAAAATGAGACAAAAGAAAGTGAACTCAAATGATATTTTTGTGTGATTCTCTTTAAAGTTGGAGGCTGAGCATTAACATTATAGATATAAGACAAAACCGACAATGTTTAGAAAGGCTGATTTTGTTTGTGGCAGACTGTTCCACAAAAATTATTCCACATCTGGATGATAAGGATCCTAAACTATCCAGGGCATTTGTAATATTTGCCTTGACTACATTTAAATTATGCAGAAATAATGTAAAGGCTATAAAGAGGGACTACGTGACTGAAAAGAACTCCTTAAATCTGTTGTTGTTTGCAAACAACTTTTCGTCAAAAGATATGAAGTCTTCATGTATTATTCATGTGAAGTGTTTTTGTCTGATGAAAGGAAGGATTTCAAGGGGCTGAAATTATGTTGCTTAGCACAGTAAGCTGCAATTAGAGTAGGCTCATGGAACCAGTGAAACTTACAGAGAAGTTGATTTGCCAAATCTCCCGATTAAGTGGGTCTACTCCAGTTGCAACTTACTGTGCCAAGCAACAGAAATTCACCCAGTGTTGGCCTGTACTGCCTCTTAGTATCAATGTGCTGAGTATGGGCTTGTGCAAAAGAACAGGTATATATAAGCTGCTCATGCAGCCAGCCTTTTGAAGATGTTCCTCTTTACAGGAAGAACAGGTCAGAGCATGCTTCAATTCTGACAGGTAGTAGGCCTTATAATGGCTGCTATTTTATGCAAATTGGTATCATACTTGCTGTTGATAACAAATGATTAGCCCTACCTGTATGTTCAAGTTGCAAGCTCCACAAGGGGGTGGGGTGGGTAGAATGATGAATCTGCCACTTGCACATTCATTTTTTAAAATCTAAATTTCATTCATTAATGGTTGGTGTGGGGTTTTGGGGCTGTTTGGCTGAAAAACCCACAACAAGCATCTGATCCTAGCTGTGAAAGCCTCCAAGAGATTCATTCGTTAAGTTCAAATTTTTTAAAAAATGCAGATCTTCATAAATTTTTGTTGCCAGTCGAACTGAAATAAAGTTTTAGCTATTTGCACTGGCAAAATTAAACAGGCGCAGCTATTTTTAAAATGTTGAGGAGATCGTTGTGACTGCTGCCACACAAATGTTAAAGGTTAGGAGTCTTTTCCAAGAAGAAAAGTGATAATCCCAATACAGATACTCAGTATGGTATAGTGGCTAGATAGACTAGGTTTGAATCCCCACTCAGCCATGGAAATTCATTGGGAATGTAGAACTAGTAATTCCACTTATGTGAAAACCCTGTAGAACTAGTAAAACCACTCTTTAAATATTCCACTTATGTGAAAACCCTATTCATTGTCTAGTCATTTAGTCGTGTCCAACTCTTCATGACCCCATGGACCAGAGCACGCCAGGCCCTCCTATCTTCCACTATTTGACACTGTTGTGTCAAATTTATGTTGATTGCTTTGATGACAGTGTCCAACCATCTCATCCTCTGTCGTCCCCTTCTCTGTCGACCCTATTAGGATCACTATAAGTCACTTCTGACTTGACAAGATATATCACACAGCACCAATACTGTTGAGATAGTAGCAATCTTGTATGCACGAACACTGGGTAACCATGGAAGGAGGCTCTTCACAACCAAAGGTAATTGTCCACTTTAACCTATTACTAAAGTTTTTCCTGCCTCAGGTTGGCTCCTTCCCTCCTCCTACTTGTTTGCTTTACTTCCTTTGTTACTCTCTCTATTCCTTTGACCTTCTACCATGTACCAGACATGGAAGACGTCTCTCCCATGTATGGAGACTGAGTTTTTCCTATTTTTCTACTGACTGTAACTACAGACAGAACTGTAAATAAAGGTACCTCTTTTTTCACTTAAAATGTTTCCAGAATGATTTTAGCCACTGTGACAAGGGATGGACTACTGAGACTAAAACTCTCATGCTTTCTCTATGGAGTTGCTGTTTGTATCTGATGCTCTATTATACTATAAAAGAATTGACCAGATATTCCAATAAATACCACACTGGCATAGTTGAACACACAGGGATTCAAGCCTAGAAGTTTTAGAGCTAATTATTCAAACCCCTGGAGTAACGAATCGGTCCCTTGAATATTTTTTTCATACAGTTTATTTTATTTATTTATTTATTTAATTTATACCCCGCCTATCTGGTCGGTGAGGACCACTCTAGGCGGCTAACAACAATAAAATACAATAACAATATAAATGAGCAATTCTAATTAGTAAAAACGCTACAATACATTACATAGAGTACAAAACAGAAACAGTAAAGAGGGAAGAAGGAGGTCAAGAGGAATATGATGGAAAGGCCTGCCCAAACATCCATGTCTTCAATTGTTTCTTAAAGATACCCAGCGAGGGAGACCCGCGAATCTCAGGAGGGAGATTGTTCCAGAGGCGAGGATCCACCGCCGAGAAGGCCCGATTTCTTGTCTTCTCCTTCCGGGCCTCCCTCGGCATTAGGCTCCTCAACCTCACCTCCTGAGTACGTAAGCGACAGCACTTTGAAGTCGATGCGGAATCGTTTGGGCAGCCAATGCAATGAGGCAGAGTGGGTGAGATATGTTGGAATTTCCTCACTCCACTAAGTAATCTGGCTGCCGCATTCTGCACCACCTGTAGTTTCCGCAGCAGCCTCAAAGGAAGCCCCACGTAGAGCGCATTACCGTGGTCTAATCTTGAGATTACGAGCGCATGTACCAAGATGGTGAGCACCCCCAAATCAAGGTAGGGCCGCAGCTGGGCTATCCGCCTAAGGTGAAAAACGGCGGAATGGACTACCGACGCCACCTGTGATTCCATGGTGAGCGCCGGGTCCAGATGGATCCCCAAACTGCGAACCCCGTCCTTGGCAGGCAGGGTCACTCCCTCAAAAAAGAGGGAGTTTCCCAAATCCCCAACTGTGGGAGGGCCCACCCTCAGTACCTCCGTCTTGTCCGGGTTCAGCCTCAGCCCGTTCTCCTGCATCCATTTCAGTACGGTCCCCAGGCAGCACTGAAGGGACAGAACGGCATCTCCTGCAGAAGGTGGAAAGGAGATGTAGAGCTGAGTATCATCAGCGTACTGATGACACCGAGCTCCACACCTCCTGATGACCCCACCCAGCGGCCTCATGTAGATGTTAAATAGCTGGTCTCCGGTAAGTTCTTCCCATTAGAAAGAAAAAGAATTTTGTAAATGGTAATATTTTTATCAAAACCAAACAAAAATAAATCTCTCACCCATCTTTAATCTCACTACGACAATTTATGAGTGGGCTTCTTTAGTTTGGTGCTAGGGAACCTCTTCTTCCTTTAGTCACTGACTGCATTCGCACCATTAAACAAACTACTGTCAACCCACCAGAGCTGGGTCAGATACCAACACATTTTCCAAATTAAAAGGAGCACAGCATGGGTAATTTAGGAGCTTTGGTGTAGAATCTACTGTAGCATCAGCATAAAGTTTCCAAGAAGGAAAAAAAGAGAATTGACATGTCAGGTCTTAATCAGAAGTTTTATTTGAAGTTTTATTACAGATTGACTGTGGAAAGATGAAAAATAAAAATAAGTTTAAAAAAGATAACACAGGTATCAATTTGACCTTAGGTTGTACAAATAAAGTTGGAAGGCTAACCCAAAGAAAAGGAAGGTGGGCTAATGATTTAGTGCTGGTGGTAGTTAGGATAAGCCAGAAGAAAGAATGGAGGAAGAGGAAGATTGTTATTAGCTATCTTTAACCTGTTGAGATGAACAGATAAGGGGAGATGAATCCTCATCAGTGGATTACCCCAAAATGAGGAGATCAGACTTTTGATGGCTTCTGCAGGTCATCGGTAGCACAAAGATTCAGGATAGCAGACACCTCCAGGCTGAAGTAGGGCTTCCTCTCGACAAGAACACAGACTGACAGATGGAACTACTTGCCATCTGGAACAAGAGAAAACAAAGATAAAATGGAAGTGATCTGGCAAGAATAAGCTAAAACCAATAGCCCACATGATAACAATGTTCTTATTTCTTATAATCATGTACAGCACACTATACTGTATATAATTTTATATAATGTAATATTGTTGATTCTGTTAATAATATTCCATTTGCAAAGGAGAAACATAAAAAGGTTTTAGTCCTGTTACTTAGAAAATCAGTCCAGATCCCTCCTTGATCCTTGTGATGTGCTTAGAGAGGAGATAATCTCCTACACATGGGCTTCTGGTAAAATGGCAACCATCCCTGGCTAAGAAATTAACACCCCTTTAAGTTTAAACCCCCTCCCCATTTTCTCAGCCTCCAAGAGATAAATAAAACTGCATTAAGTAAGTGAAGTTTCACTTCATGTGCAATTTCTGATCATCGCTCCACAAACACTATAAAGTGAAACAGCCTCAGGCACTGCTACAATTGAATCATAACCAGTGACATTCTGTTTCCCATCTTGCTGTATTGATTTATCTCCATGGCCCCCTGCAGAGGACTCTGCATGCATTCCACTGGGGAACAATGCTTTTAACAGCTAAAATATGTTCTTAAACATCTCTTTCAGCTTGAAGTGGAATAATACAAAACTCACTCAGCCCCAGCCCCAATACCAGCTAGATTAAAGCAACCATAACTAGAGGCCTATACATATACAGTACAAGTGTAACAACCTTATTACATTTGACTTCCTTACTGACTGACAGCTGCTGCCATCTGCATAATGAAAAGATGTACAAAAGAGGCATGAGTATGTAAAAGCTGCAGATTAATTTTTCATGTGATCATCTAGGTTTATGCCAGTTCACACATGAATACACCACTCTGTCACACAACTCTTGATAACTCACGGCTTTAAAGTATTTCCACAGAGGTTATGAGGCTTGCAGTGAGGTGATACTTGAGTGATAAAGAGCCTCGTGGAGCAGTGCTAAAACCGCTGTACTGCAGCCAAAACTGTGCTCACGACCTGGGGTTCAATCCCAGGTAGCCAGCTCAAGGTTGACTCAGTCTTCTTTCCTTCCAAGGTCAGTAAAATGAGTACCCAGGTTGCTGGGGGGGGGAGGCAATGTGTACCCTGCATAATTAACTTGTAAACCACCCAGAGAGTGCTTGAAGCACTATGGGGCAGTATATAAGCAGCACGCTTTGCTTTGCTTTGCCTTGCTTCTTTGGGATTCAGTCCATGACATATACATGCGATACAGCTGCTGCTTCAGTCCAATCCTATGCATCTCTACTCAGAAGAAAGCTCCACTGAGTGCTTTTCTCAAGCAAGAGCTTGTGCCAACACAGGGTTTTGAGGACACATGCATACCCCAAGATATTTCTTGTGACCACCCAAAATTGCCCCTGGGGCACTAATAAATTTCTACACAACCTTGCTCCCATCATTACACAAGGCAGGCAAGGAGAGCCATTCCTACACTGCCTCTGAGCGCAACTGAATTATCATCTCCTAAACATCCTAGAGCATGGGGAAAAGAGGATAGATGAGAAGAAACAACCCCATGTGCCTTAAGGACAGTCGAGCTGCAAGATCTGCTTATGTTTTTATATTCTTATGTATGCCCTCAGTCAGCTGCATACCTGATACCTCATGTGGCCTCAAAAGCCTATCAAAATCAGTTATTATTATGCCTCAACATGAGGAGTCATCTTCAAAGTGGGAAGAAGATTGTGTGCTAGAGAAGGCTGGTGTAGAACAAGAATCCAGTGCTCCAGCTACCAGCATTTTTAAGAAGCTATAGCAAGCATGCCATATTGACAGCTAAGCCTTTGCGGGAGACAAGATGTTGCCTACTACCTGACACTGCCTATCAAGATTTCTGGAACCTCTGACAACTCGAACTGCCTGACTGTGCCTTTGCCTGCTCCGTGTTGTTGGTGACAGATTTAGCTGGACCCACATACTGTGCTGACCTCTCATACTTGGAAAAAGGGTGGCTTAGACAACCCAACTCCAGCACTTGCCATCTATTAAAAACAACAGCCACCCTTGCTAGAGAGAACTGCAGCCAGAAGGCCAAACCAGATGTAACTTTAAAATTGTTGTTAGTGGCTGCATTTTTCTTCATTTTTTCTCCAAATGCCTATCTAGATTAGAGACTAAGCCCAAGTCTGGGAGTTTAAACAGTTTACATCTGACTTAACAGTAGATCCACTGACACAATTATTGAATGGTAAGTTAACATTTATGTAACTCCATTGATTCAGTGGGTCTGGTCCAGCTGAGTCTTTTGCTAGATCACACAATAGGTAAAGTAGCAACTAGATTTAGACCAATAATGTTAAGATTTCTGCTGTTTACATTTAATGAGAAGAAACTACTGGTGCCATGTTTGTCTCTTAGTATCTTATAATCTTTTTATTCTGGTGTGAGTTACCAGCTGCAGGCGTAATTCTGATGATGTTTCATGTGCTTTATCCTATCACCTGCTTCATTTTGATACATTCATTGTTGGTTGACCTAGAGCCAAAACTGAAACTTTTTAAAAGACACAGCTAGCAGTTCTTCTCTTCTTTCGTTCCTTTCAAGAAATTGTAAGGACTCCACGCCATTCTCAATTTGGACCATAACAAGGGAGGGTAGAGTTATTTTTAATCCTTCCAGTCAAGAGTATGGCCACCATGTCTGCAGTGATTTTGCAAAATGTAACATACCCCAATGACTCTCAATAGACCACTCCTGGCCATTCTATGAGGCTTGGGGAAAAAAGTAAAAACTAAACTGTCCCCTTGTCAGAAAGGGGAAAAGTCAGAAAAGTGCTAATAAGATTGATGCTAATTAGCCACTGTGTTGACAGGTTGTACAAAGTTATTCCTCATTAGAAGTAAAACTGACCTAAAATCTTGCATACATATTTTTAAAGGCCTGCAGGTAAAGAATGACTAATGTATATGAGGCAGGAATGGGAAGCTGTCGGTTTAGCAATTCTGTAATGTTGGCATAGAAAGGGTTCTATCCAGTAGGATCAGAACTATTATGAATAAATTAGCATTGTGTGGTCCACTTTCCTTTCATGATCAAGGATTACAAGTACTGTATCTTATATGAAAATGAATAAGTAAAAAACCTCTCTAATCTAGTTATCCTGTTTCTCCACACAGCCCAGAATTGTCTCCTCTAACTAGTAGACATTCTTATTGCTTGTGACTTGATATTTTTAACAGGAGACGTCAGTCCAGAATTGAACCTGAGATAACTCTGCATAGGCAACATGTGCACTGCTACTTAGCCATTCCTCCCATTACAAATACTGGGACTGTGACATATATTACAAATGGTAATACATAAATGCAATAATTTTGAATAGAGATGGGTATGAAGTACTGTACTTCATGTTTCTTCATCATAAGTCGTCTGTGCAGCAGCACAACTGCTGTCCATTTCCTTCCCCAACTGCCCTCGTCGGCACCTCCATTCACCGATGCTGTGCCTTCCCTTCCCATTGCAGAATCTTCAGTCTGGGCAGGAGTCTGGACTTCCTTTTCCCATCCTCTCCATCAGCTGGCCACTCAAATGAGGAGGTGGGGCAGGAATTCTTGCAGCACTGCCTTTGAGTGGCCAGCTGCTGGAAGAGGTGGAGAAGGGAAGTCCAGACTCCTGCCCAGAATGGAAGATCATGCAATGGGGACGGAAGGAGAAAGGCACACACAGCTGGTGAGCAGAGGTGCCGACAAGGGGGTTAGGGGAAGGGAACACACTGGAGCTGTGCTGCCACATAGATGACTTATTACAAAAAGGCAAGAAGTACTTCATGCCCATCTCTAGTCCTGAATCCTGATCTGGATTGGGAACCTAGTTGGAGTACGGAGGATTGCAGTCTACCCTTAACCCCCACAGGGTTTCCCAACCCACTCCTATACCAGATTAATAAAGTGATTAGAACACAACAGGCATGTGTGCTTGTAGCAGAATGTAGCTTAACTCTCAAAATAGAACATACAGAGTAGTTATCAATACCTAACTGTACATAATTTGCCTTATCTAGGCCACTATTTCTCTAACTTAGTTGTCCAGGTATTGCTGGACTTGAAACTCACAGTAGCCCCAATCAGCACAGTCAACAGCCAAGGATTCTTAGAATGTTAAACCAAAAATACTGTATTTGGGCATCTGGCAGTAACAGACCCTTGCTATCTCTAAGGTAAACCACTGACACAAGAAAGGAAACAAGCCAATATTCTATGTCATGATCATGAGAATAGTACAAGAGCCATGACAGCAATTTTTGGAAGGCTGGTGAGGTTGTCTCTTTATTAACCTGTATGAATGCTAAGATCTTTTTAAGCATTCTCTTGCCCGTGGAAACTGCTTGATGAATATATGGAAGAGGCTTTTCACTTTTGTTGCTCCCAGACTATGGAATGCACTTTCTCCACATCTCTTCAAACTGGCTTTTAAACTATTTTGATTATTAATTATGATGCAACAATTTTACTGTTTTCTAGGCCAAAGTCCTATTGAGGTTTTCTACATGCATAAGGGCATTCTTACAAGAGACTGTCATATTTATTGGGCTGTTTGACATGCAATTGATTGTGCAACCAGACAGCAGCTGGGTGCATGGCAACTGATCTGCAAAACTGCTCATGCCACTTGCAGAACTGCCTGTGTGCAGTTGCATAAGCAACAGACCTCTGGCCACTGTCATAATTGTTTCTAATTTGCATTTCATATGTTTTGAACTTGTTTTTCACTATGTTACTTAGCTCAGTGGAGCATCAGGTTTTCTTGGAAAAGGGAAGGGACAGAAATGTAATCAATCAATCCAATCAGTCTCTCTGGCCATGGCTCTGGGGAGCAAGCATAGGGGCAGGGGATGCAAAAAAAAGTTTAATGAAAAAAGTGCTCTTTTCCCAGTTCAGGTCTTAAAATAACGCAACTCAATTCAGTATCCAACTATTTTTGGAAAATAAGTTTGTATCGCTATTCACAAAAACCAAGG